AGCCCATCTGGAAGACAGAGTGAGATTATCCCTTTATAGTCTTGCCTGGGTTGGTCTAACACAAGGGGTTCCCACTAAGCCTAAAGTCAGAGCCACAGTTTTCATTCTTATGCCGTGACAAATTCTAATTATGATTGTAGGCAGTTTCTCCAGTATATTTTTTTCCTAGTATTATTATTAGTCATCTTACTGTATATGTTTTGGAATATGAAGACCTCTGTTCTTTTCCACTCAGAACAGTACTTTCTGGGTTTAGGATACAAAGTGAGGGGGTGGGGGGGTGAAGAGTAAAGAGAAAAGAAAATAAGGGCAAGGAAATCACATCAATGGAAACAGAAACTATGGTGTAAACCTGCACAGAAAACATATAGTAGTATTTTTTAAATAAGATTAGAGTGATAGGATGTCTGTAAGACTAACATTAAATTCTCTTCTTTAGGTGCTTTGGAAGTCATACATAGATTTTGAAATTGAGCAGGAAGAAACAGAAAGAACACGCAATCTTTATCGGCGATTGCTTCAGCGGACACAACACGTCAAGGTATCTGTACTCTGCATGTTTTCTCAGTATGACATTTCAAATGAAAATTGGGAATTATATCAAGTTTTCCAGTGTGTGTGTGTTTTCATTAATTTAGAATGGTTTCTTTTAAATATGAGAAACAATTTCTGAACTTTGGAATGTTAAGATTCTATTAGGCTAGTGTTTATACCTCATATAAATAAGTTTAGTATCACAGATGAAAGGTTAAACTCATCAGAATTTTAAGACTGTTTCAGATACCTAAATAGAAGCAGTTTGTACTTACAGAATACTGGGACTATGTTTGTTTAGATGTCAGAAACTCATTATTCTTGCTTCTCAATGAAATGGCTAATTTGGTTTGAAAATAACTTTTTCCAAGGTATGGATCAGCTTTGCTCAGTTTGAACTGTCTTCAGGCAAAGAAGGAAGTTTGGCTAAATGCAGACAAATTTATGAAGAAGCTAACAAAACCATGCGAAACTGTGAAGAAAAAGAGGAGAGACTTATGTTGCTAGAATCTTGGCGAAGCTTTGAAGATGAATTTGGAAGCCTAGATGATAAGGAGAGAGTGGACAAGCTCATGCCAGAAAAAGTCAAGAAGAGGAGAAAGGTCCAGGCTGATGATGGGGTAAGAGCTAAGCCCTCCCATAGCAGGTGAATAGAAAGCTCACCTGATGTCAAATGTGCATTCTCAGGATGTCGTTTCCATTTGTCTCCTGTGCAGATAGTGAGTACAACAGAGTCCAGCCAGGGCTGGAGAGCAGAAGGTCGGCAGAGAGTGTCTTATACAAGTCAGAGTGAAACAAGCTAGCTTTAGTATTAGCATGACTCCTGAGCAAGAATGACATGTAGAATCATGAAGTGTTCCATACTTTTGCTGAAATGAACCAGTATGCTTATTGGAACTATTGTAGAATTAAAAAAAAAAAAAAACCAACAAAAACTATTACCATTTTATAGTAGGAGCCCATCCATAAAGCAGCTTAGGGCTCTATCAAGTAATTTGCTGAGAACCACAGAAAGCTTTTACATACAAAATTACATGACCAGGTCATCAATTGGTTATCTCTATAGGTGACTCAAGACAGAAGAAATCAGTGAGAGCCTGTCTGTAAATGAAGCAAATGATGTGACAATAAACCAGATCAGGCTAAAATGAGAGCAGGGCAGGGCAGGGAAATAAGTGATGACCAGTTAAGCAGGGAGTCAGTATAAAGATGTATGTATTTGTGGCTAGGCTGCCTTAAATCACTGAAAATTTAAGGACTCCCTGATGGAGTTGTAGGCATTCTTCAGTGCTGCGTCAAGGACAAGAGAAACTAGACTTCTATTTCTAAAATTTCCTTTGAACAGGTTTTCACTCCCAGTTGGCTATATTTTTGCAAATAGATATTAGAAGTAAGCTCCAGTTGCAAATATAAACTTGATAGCTATGTATTCACTCCCATTCTTTTGGGTTCAGCCCTTTTTGTTTCTCTAAACTGATGTTTTAGAAAATGGAGAAAAGATGGATTTGCAATCTGAGTTTCCCAGTGAAAATTCCCTTGAATATAACCAAAATGTGGGTCTTTCAGACACATGTGCTTCTATTTCAATTGTTTGCTTTTTTTCTGTAGTCTGATGCAGGCTGGGAGGAATACTATGATTACATCTTTCCAGAAGATGCTGCTAACCAACCCAACCTTAAGCTCCTGGCTATGGCCAAACTTTGGAAGAAGCAACAACAGGAAAAGGAAGCTGCTGAGCAAGACCCAGATAAGGACATTGATGAAAGTGAATCCTGACTTTCCCCCTCCATATTGATAAGTGCTTTTCTTAAGTTAATACTTTGTAACTCTTATTCCTTTAAGTTTCTGTATATATTTAACCAGTAAGCAATTGGTTGGAATCTATTTTTTTTGTACTATTTTTAAAAATGTTCTTGATTAGGACTGCAGGTAGGGGAGTGCAAGTAAAGAAAATTTTTTTAACAACTGGATTCTTGATGTGACTGACACGAATTTTTTCTAATCTATCCATTTCATACAGTAGGAAAATCTAATTAAGGTAACACTTATTTCTCAATCCATTCACAACAGAGCTATTTTGAAAGTGGTTTTCTGGAAGCTTTCAGATTACATTCTACAGGAACTTATAAGGCTTTTATCATGCTTGTGTTAAGATACTTTTATGCATTCATCTCAAATCTGTGATTTTTCTATATATTCAAAGTCACAGACTTGAAGATCAGTATCTAGCTAGCACTGCCATTTAGCCATAAGTACTTTAAATTTTATGTCCTACTTATTCTTAAAAGGGCTAACTTGGCAATTTTCCCTTTAGGTTAAATGTGAATAGTAATATACCTGGAACAAAGGTGCAATAAATATTCATTACCAAAGACTTTTCTTATATATACATGTTCATTCTTGTAGGCTTGAATGAACACAGATTTTTGAACTTCACCTTCCTCATAGTGGATAGTAATAGTGCTTTTTAAGATTACTTGAAAAATCCTTGGTAACTGTATTCTGAACAACCTTTTATTTACCAAGAATATTTTAGTTGAAATTTCAGTTGTGCCTTAGTCTGCCAAACTGGCTAATCTCTGTAATGAATTTTTAAAACCATACCTGTAAATGTGTTAGGAAGATTAATAACTGTCATTTATTTCATAGTAGCCTCTTAGAGTCTCTGACACATTCCCTGTACTGCAGATCTTTAGGAAAGGTACTGCTATGCTGTGTAGCAAACTTACAGTGGAACTGTTCTTTACAGTAGAATACTGATAAACCACTTCCAGTGGCTGCACTCTGCACCTGACACATAAAACTCACCCTTGATTTACAGCATGTGTAAAAACATGGAGCTGTATTAAATAATTAAAGTAGCAAAAATTAATAGCATATTTGTGGATATAGGTGCATATACTCACACAAAAATATAATCTGCCTGAGCTGATATAAGAAGCTATATCTGACCTGTATTTCTTAAGCACATTTTTGTCTTATCACTGCCCAAACTATTGAACTGCCTGTCTTCAGTAATTCCTTTTACACACAGAACTATCATGAGCCTATTTGTCATTAACATTTCACTTAAAGTAATAAAAATCAGTTATGTTGGTAAGTTCTTACCATAAGATGCAGTATGGGGACAATGAAATCATTAGGATAAAAGGCAAGTCTGGGTTCACCAGACAGTATCTGCTGGTGGGGTGCCAGATTTATTAAGTAATGAGATCTAGTTAGCAAGTATTTAAAATCTTAATATACTTTGATGATTTAAAGGGTTGAAATGAAACCAGGTCACAGTGCTGATATAAGTGACTTAATCATAGAACTGAGGAGGGAGGAAGAGGGGTGTGTGTGTGTAAGAAAAAACTGCAGCTCATATACTCAGCATAAGAACTACCCTGACAAGTGAGAAGCACAGGAAGGAAAAAGTTAGCATCTCAAGGAAGAACATACAGGATTCCTTTCTATTCCTAAATTCTACCAAAATAAGTCAACAGGAAAATCACTTACATAAAAATCACTCAGTGGAGTTTTAGACTACATAAGAAAATACAGGGCTGGAAATAATCTAGTTTTATCCTTAGGAATTAAGATTGTGTCTCTCCTTTGGGAAACAAAAGCTCAGCATCTCTATATTCAGAAAGGCAAGATTTAGGTAATGTATTTTGAAACATACCAGTTTTAGGGACCAAGAGTTTGAAATAGGTAACTGGGAAGAACCCTGCCTACAACGGGAAAGATGTCTGCATGCTGGGCCAGGATATTTCAGGTGTGCTGAACATCATGTAAAATCATAATAACTTTATTAAGAGAAACAACACATCCTGAATGATGACTTTTCTCAGTTCTGGTTTCGTTTTATAAATGGCCATTACACTTCCAAAAAATTTGCAGTGTGTTTTATTATACATGTTAATTAAATTCATATCTATCCTATATGCTTTTTAAAGTTTTAATCAGCAATTTTTAAAAAAGAATACATGAGGAGCAGTGGTTCTTAGGCATAAAATTTAGAAGGAGATTACAGAAATTCCCCCTGCCATTTGGCGAATATTCCTAGCCATGATGGAGTATCTCCTAACCTGGCTACTTTCTGGAATGAATTTTACTACCGTCAGCAGCTGTGTTTTGTCACTGAGTTGATGTCATCTCCCTGAAGCCCTACCTGACAGAACAGACTGCCTCCTGGGGTTTCCTGAGCCATGACCTTTACAGGAGGAGACCCCTGGGTCTTTCCCCCATAGAATCAATGGTGGATTAAAACCGCCATCCTTTGAGTTAGCAGTTCAGCATTTAACCCTTGTTCTAAGGCTCCTTTGAACAGCTTTTTAGGTATGATATTGCTAATGAGAAACAGTAAGATTGGTTTTAAATGTTAAGGCCTGTTATTTTCTTGATGACTAACTTCCTCCTAATGGAGCTCCACTAGTTGTCCTTTATAAACGCAGGAGCATCTGCCTGAGAACCACTGCACACAGTTATTCAATGTCCTCTGGCCTCACAGGGTGAGGTAGTGGTATGATGGATTTCTTCTCTGTGTCCCTGGAAAGTGCTTTCCGCATATCTGTTAAAAAGCAAAAGTTAAAGTAAGTACCCAAACACTAAGCCTTGTAAAAGTTAAAGTGTTGAGGTAAAACTATCCTAAGAAGTTCCATTCTCACACTTCCACGAGATCCAAACAGAAACAACTGGGCACCGGCCAAGCCCCACCCTGAACCCAGCTTCTCACAGTTGCTCTTTTGACAGATTGTTAGTAAAATAGCAGATCTGTAACTGTGATTCTTTTAAGTATATTAAAATACTGGAGTACTCAGTCAGTAGGTGGACAGTACCCATCTGGGCATCCACCATGCAGGAAGGAGCTTACCATACGCGTCCTCATCGGGCTCCCCATTGCTGGCTGAGTAGTACTCTATGACCGTTCTGTAGACACTGTAGCCCAGTTGCTTGTACATGTTGACTGCAACTTGGTTAGATACTCTTACGAAGAGATCAACAAAAAAGCCACCCTTTCTTTAATTAAAAAACAAAGGGAAAAATATATGAGAATGTGACAAACACCAGAAACCAGTTACATATATTTTACAATGTAATTCTTTTTACTTTGTTCTAACTCAAAACTCCCAAACTGGAGGGCAGCCAGTCAGAAACAGGTAGACAGGTAGGGCCCTGCAACATCAACCCCACACTGATAAGAGTGCAGTTGCCTGCCAGGGGAAGGTGGTCTTTGCTTTCATCTTCACCAAGAAAGATGTGGGCACAGGCTGGATAAATCCCCATGAACCTACTCGCGAGAACTGAGAGGGTGGCCAGAAACAGGAAGAGGCTACAGCTGCCAGCCATGGGAATGTGGTCTCTGGCTTTTGTGTGCACCACCTCCAAGGACACTTCCAAACTTTAGAAGAGGTGTCACCAGTCTGGTGAGATTCCAGCAGGGCTGCACTGCAGTACAAACTGAAGTTGAAGGACCTTGGGAATGGGGAGATTTCCCACTGCACAGGCTAGAAAGGACTCCTGAGATAACAAGTTGCCCTCCCTCATAAAGGGAACATTTTAAGTCTGCAACTAATAAATAATATTAACAAACTATTAACAACCTATGCATATACCACAGAAACATCCTACCACAGACTGAGAAAAACTTCACATAGTTAAGAAAGCAGCAGGCAGCTTCAAACATTGTGGAAAAAAAAAATTAAGCCTTCACTTAAAGCAGAGGGTATTGCAGACCAAATGAACACCCCAGAGACACAGAGGCAGAAGAAACAGACTGACGTGGAATCAAGAACAGTGAAGTTCATGGTGACATGAACAGCTGGGAAAGACAGTAAAATAAGTGAAGAATGGAAACTATAAATAAAGTGAATACCCCAGAGACAGAAACCAGGAACTAGAAGAAAGACATCAAAGTGGAATTCTTTGAACAGCTACTGATAAAATAGATTTCAGGATGAAAACCACTGTAAATGATAAGGAAGGGCATTGTATAATTATTAAAGTTACAGTATGCCAAGAAGGTGTAACTTTGGTCAGCATCTATACACCAAATAATAGACCTGCAAAATAAAGACTTGAAGACGGAAAAAGGTCATACAACAAAAGTAAGAGACTTTAATACACCACTCTAAACAAAGGAAAGGTCAACTCAAAAGAAAATGAACAAAGATACAGAAAATCTAAAATATACAATCAGCCTAATGGGTCTTGTGGATGTATTCAGAGTACTGCACCATACCATAAACCACTTTACTTTTCTTCTCAAGTGCACATAGTACATACTCCAGAACTGATCATGTATTAGGACACAAAGCAAGCCTCAACAAATTAAAAATTCAGATACTGCAAAATATCTTCTCAGACCACAATGCCATAAAAGTAGAATTACCAACAGGGTAAAGCTTACAACTACTCACATGGAAGCTAAATAACACTTTACTAGAACATAAATGGGTTACAGAAGAAATAAAAAAGTTCCTTGAAACAAATGATAGTGAAAATACAACAAGGCTAAACCTAGGATGCAACAATCTAATTCCACATCTAAGATGAACAACAATCAGTCCCACAGCCTCTAGAAGAAAGAAAATTATAAAAACAACAGTTGGGACAATTGAAACCACCAATAAAACCAGAATCTGGTTCTTCACAAGGGTTAATAAAATTGACAAACCATTTGCTAACTTAACAAAAGAGAACATACATACTACTCAAATAAATAGAGGTGACATCACAACTGAGCCAAATAAAATTAAATCTATAATATCAGAATAGCATGAAAAGCTGTACTTTAGTAAATTTGAAAACTCAAAGGAAATGGCCAAATTCCTTGAAACTCGCACCCTACCCAGAATGACAGAGATGGAACACTTGAAGAGACCCATCACAAAAGAAGAAACTGAGTAGGTCATAGAAATACACACACAGAAAGGATGGCATCACAGCTCAATTCTACCATTCAGAGATCTTTCACCAATTCTACTTTATTATTTTAAAAAATAGAAAAAGAACACTTCCAGAGTCATTCTATGAAGCAAACATAACCCCAATACCAAAATCAGGCAAAGACATTACCAAAAAAGAAAACAATATATACTATCTCTAATGAGTATAGATACAAAAATCCTGGCCAAAAGAATCCAACAGCACATTAAAAAAAAAAATCGGATAAAGTGGGATTCATAACAAGTATGCAAAGATGGTTTAACATTAAAAAAAAAATCTAATTCCTCATCAATAAAGCAAAGAACCACACACAAATAATCCTGTCAGCTGACACAGAAAAGGCCTTTGACAAAATCCAGCACTCCTTCCTAATTAAAACAATTAGCAAAACTGAATAGAAGAGCATTTCCTTAAAATAGTGAAAAGTATACACACAAAACCAAGAGCTAATGTCATTCTCAATAGAGAAACTAAACGTTTCTTGAAAATAGAGACCAGACAAGGATGTTTACTTTCATTACTCCTATTCAGTACTTTATTGGAAATACTTGGTAGGGCAGTACAACAAGAAGGAATTAAAAGGCATTCAAATTGGCAAAAAAGATAGTAAAACTGTTCCTGTATACAGATGATATGATAATGTACACAGAAAACCCCAAGGACTCAACAATAAAACTCTTAAGACCTAGTAAAACTAGTTAGTAGAAGAGCAGGATATAAAATCAATATACAAAAACAACTGAGATTCCTCTTCAGTAAGAAAGGAGACAGAAAAGGAAACTATTAAGAAAGCAATACCATTTAAAATATCCAACCACAAATTGAGATACTTAGGAATAAACCTCAGTTGTTGATTGTTGTAATGTGCCATTGAGTTGCCTGCAACTCATAGCGACCCTATGTACCACAGCCCTAAAATCTGCTCTATACTGTTCCAATCTTACTGTCTCTTACACACCTACACCCATTACCCCAGTCACTGAATCATTCCATCTCCTGTGATGTCCCTCTACCCTCCCAAGCATGCCATCCCTCTCCAAGGACTGATCCTGCCTTGCAACATGTCCAAAGTATGTCAGAGAAAGCTTCAGAATCCTTGCCTCCAAGGAGCAGCCTGGTCTCACCCTCTCAAGGACAAACTTGTTTATTCTCTTAGCAGTCCATGATATATCCAGTACTCTTCTCCAGAGCTCAAAGGCATCAATAATTCTTCTATCATCCCTAGTTACTGTTCAGCTCTCTGATGCATAGCAAGTAATTGCTAAGAGCATGGCCTGGATCAGGCGCACCTTAGTCTCCAGACTGACACCACTGCTCTTCAGTACTCTGGAGAGGTCTCTGACAGCAGACTCTCTCAATGTAATAATACGTCTTTTAATTTCCTGGCTGCTGGTGCCAAGAGTTTTTATTGTGGAGCCAAGCAAACTAAAGCTGTTTACAATCTCAATCTCTTCACCATTTATTATGATGCTGCCAATTGAGACACAAAAGATCTTAACAAAGAAAACTACAAAACACTACTGCAAGAAACAGTAAGAGACGTAAATAAATGGAAAAATGTTCCCTGATCATGGATATGAAGAGTCAATATAGTGAAGATGACAATCCTACCAAAAGCATTCTGCATGTTGAACGCAATCCCAACACAGACACCAAATTCATTTTTCAAAGAGATAAGAAAGGCAATTGGTAAGTTTATGTGGAAAGGAAAGAGACCTTAAATAAGCAAAGCACTTTTGAAAAAAACAAAAATTAAGTGGAAGGCATAGCTCTCCCTGTTCTCAAAACCTACTGTTGTTGTTATGGGCCAGTGAGTTGCTTGAGACCCTATGTAAAGCAGCTCTGAACCCTGCCCTGTTCTGAACCAATCTCACTAATTCCGACACACCAACCCCCAATGCCCCACTGTATCAATCATCTCATCTGCAGTCTTCCTCTCCTGCACTATCTCTCCACCCTTCCAACTTGATGTCCTTCTCCAAGGACCAGTCTCTTCTGGCCACATGCCCAAACTTGAGGATGGGTAAAGGTGAAACCAGGGTTGCAGAGTTTAGTGGGTGGAGGGAGGGGGTAATAAATAGGAAGGATCTGGGCAAAAAAACAGGATACTGATGAGCAAGGTCCAACAATGATTAATTTTATAAAATATAATGCATGAGAATGTACCAAAAAAATGTGAATAAATAGTGTGAAACATATCAACTTTGTAAGAAAACCATAATAAAATAAAAAATTCAATATAATGCATATAAACAAGGCATAAGAGGCTCTGAGAAAACAAGAAACCAAAATCCAGGATATGAGAACCAATGTGTCAGATGCTGTTACATGTTAGGACACATGAGCAGCATTAAGAGACAGAGTACAGAACCAGCAAAACAGAAGATGGAATATTCAGCACTGATCTGCTAAAAAAGCAGAATCAAAAAGTAAGGAAAAAGAAGCAAAGGACACTATCAAGAGGAATAACATGTATATAATTGGAATCCTAGAACAAGAAGTAGTAGAGGCACCAAGAAAGTTCTGGCAGAATTACTAGAAGAAAACTTCCCAGGCAGAATGAAGAATGAAGAATATATATATACACAAGAGGCTGAGAGACTATACAGAATAGACCCAAAAAGACAATTACCTAGGCATATCATAGCCAAATTTAGCAGAACCAAAATAAGGAGAGAATTCTGACAGGAGTTAGGGAGCAACAAAAAGTAACCTATAAAGGACAGCAAATAATATTAAGTGCCAATTTCTCAGCAAAAACCAAATAAGGAACAGCCGACACCTCGTCCGCCCTGGAGCACAGGCCCCTTCGCATAGTCACCGCCGCCAGTTCACACCCGCCACCCCCAGCTCACCATGGATGATGACATCACTGCGCTCGTGGTCTACAATGGCTCCGGCATGTGCAAGGCCGGCTTCGTGGGCGTCGACGCCCCCCAGGGCTGTCTTCCCCTCCATTGTGGGGCGCCCTCGGCACCAGGGCGTGATGGTGGGCATGGGCCAGAAGGACTCCTACGTGGGAGACGAAGCTCAGAGCAAGAGAGGCATCTTGACCCTCAAGTACCCCATCG